TGCGAACCGCGACTCGGGTCGCGACTCGCGAGTCAGGTCGCGACCCGCGAGAAAAACTGGAGTTAAACAAGATTTCCGAAGAACGAGTCGCGACTCGCGAGCCATTCTCGCGACTCGCGAGATGAAGTCGCGACTCGCGAGTCAGGTCGCGACCAAACCCCTGAATTTAAAGAAGAAGACGACGCGCGACTCGCGAGGAAGTCGCGACTCGCGACCCATGAAAAGTCCATCTCGCGACTCGCGACTTGAGTCGCGACTTAGTCGGGCGCGAATTTCGAGGTCGGGATTTTTAGAGCAGAATTTGACCTGAGGGTTCATTATTCACGATTCCAACTTCGTTTTTACACTTTTTCTCTAGAGAAACTCATTCCTTTTCTTTCTTTTCGCACTTTTGAATTGTTTTGATCTTGAGATTTGATTTTAGAGATTTAAAACCTCTATTATCTTGCTTTGGATTCGGATACTATTGGATTGGGTTCAGAATTTTCATTAATCGTAAGTATTTTTCTTCAATTCTTTCATTGATGATGATGTCTTGGGTTATGAATGTTTGTGTGATCAAATCCACTATGAGTAGCTAAATCCATCTGCTAGGGATAGGGGATAATTGATTAGGTTCAATTATAATTGCTTGTTCTTAATTGTTCATATCTACGCGAGTTGAGTTCAATTTAAGGTTAATAGATTGATCACCTATATAACCTAGTAAATCATTGTTTAGAACCGAAAGGGGAGACATTGGTCGACTTAGGCTCGTTTAGAATAGACTTGTTCGTCAAAGTATTGTCTATGAGTTGCTGGCTTTGATAGTCAATCGTATATGTTCACTCTCTTGTTACGAAGAGTTATTGAGAGTGAACCTCTAAACGATAGACGATTCATTTCCTTTAACCGAGCAATTGATTGCCGGTAGTTGTGTAAGAACCGAAAGCAGTTGTCCCCGATTCCCTAGCTCTTTAAATTCTCAGTTAATTCGTTACTGTTCATTTCGTGCTTTATTTAATTTAAAGTTGGTAGTTGATAATCGAAACCCAAATCATTGAATTAGATTGTTTAGGATTTTTATCTTCTTTTGTGACTGAATAATCGAACAATTATATCCGGCTAACCTTCCTTGCGATACGACCCGGGGACGAATCTTTCGATTCTACTCCGGTTAAAATACTGACAACAGTGACCTTGCCAAGTACGCGGTGGCCCAACCGGACAGAGGCTTTCACCCACTTGCCGAGCAGGGGAAGTGCGATGTAACTAATATATATTTGTGTTTTTTTATTATTATTATTTTTTTTTTTTTGTTTCATTATAATTGACTTTGAATTTAATTTTCAGGCTACCGCCATGGAGGGTGCTTTTCACACGTTATCTAACGTGGACCACCTACATCATACACTACATCCAGATATGTTGGCGGCATTCCAACAGGCCAAGAGCCTTCTATACAGTTCTCTGGCTATCAGAGGCGGAGACGTCGCACAAGGGACGTCGTCGAGCCAAATTCTCTCGCAGGAGAGCTACGTCCGATCCCAGAGGACGCAGTCACACCGAGCGAGGCATCGACCTGCTCCCAACATTGGTGGAGGTAGAAGACGACTCGACCGCCAACCCGCTGCCGACACCGTGCCTCAAGAAGAAGAAGAAGAAGAAGAAGAAGAAGAAGAAGAAGAAGAAGAAGAAGAAGAAGAAGGTGAAATTTTTTAACTTAACACAAAAATATAATTTTATTTATTTTTTGTGATTTTTGTTAAGTCGAATTTCTGATTTCTTAAAACAATGAATTACTCAGCTGAAGAAGAAGAAGAACCTACCACGCCTACAGCATCATCTTCTTCACGACCACCACGGCGTCGGATTAGCTCCCGACCGCGCAACCCTGCGAATCGATACACTCCTAGTTAGTTGTGTTGTATTCCGGAAATTTTGTGGAAATTTTGTGGACATATATAGGTGTAATGATATTTGGACATATTTGAATTTTTATATTTGGACAATGAATTATTGTGCTTCATTTTTCTTTCTTTGACGACTGGATTGATATGAGCTTGTGTAATTAATATTTGGTTGTAGAATCGATCTCGATTAATAGGCGTGTTTTTGTAATTTTTCTGTAATTTTTGCTGTTTCTGCACAGTAAAACGTATTTTCAAAATACGGTTTTTTTTTATAAAACGTTTTACTGTGCAAAATTAGGGCAAAATCAATTTGGGGCTAAAATTAGGGTTAAAAAACGTATTTTCAAAATACGTTTTATATTTTTAATTATTACTTTCTGGAAAAATTTGTTTTCGAAAATTCTAAATATTAATTTTATTTATAAAACGTATTATTGAAATACGTTTTATAATTAAAAAATAAATATATAATTAATTTTAGTTATAAAACATATTCAAGTAATACGTCTTTGTTTTTCTTTAACTTAAAACGTATTTAGGTAATACGTTTTACCATATTTTAATTAACTTAATTACGTTTATTACGTTAATTAATTTTTTGCAAAAATAAATTCTTTAAATACGTTTTACTTGTAAAAACGTATTTTTTTAATTCGTTTAATATTGAAAAACGTATTTACAAAATACGGCCTTTTGATTTTTTTTCCACTCTTTTTTTTTGTCCACTTTTTTTTTTACTAGTGTGTATCCCGTGCGCTGCACGGAGGGGTTTTTACTTAAAACCTTTTCTAAGACTTTATATTAAACATAATTATTTATGCTTAACATCTTATTATTATAAAAAAAGAAATACCAAATATGAAAAATTATATATTATTTATTTGAATATAATGAGTGTCCCCAACCAAACTAATAACATCCAACATATGATATATGATAAAATTAATTATATGATTGTCATACTTTTTGAAAAAATATACATATATTTCTAATAAACATGTAAGATCCGCATTTAAATTTGTATTTGGATATGAGATGAAAAATGAATATGTACAAATAAAAAAGTACCAAGAACCTACATAAAATGAGATTCTTTATAAACTTTAAAATATTTTGTAGTTAAGCAAATATTAACAAACACACCCGAGTGTCATTTTCATTACTCTGTGGGGGTCCGACACTCGGGAATTACCCTGTGGGGGTCTTGTGTTATTGTCTTTTCTCTTTTGTTGTTTTGTGTGTTTTTAGTGTTCTTGAGTTTACCCCGTTGGGGTCGGTTCTAGGGCGGTCTCTGACCTGTCCTCCCACTTTTTCAGCTATTGGCTGTTTGTATTCAGCTGTTGGCTGGTTGTAATCAGTTGGTGGCTGTTTTGTGCACATTTGTGCGATATTTATAATATCTCTATCGTTCTGGCAAAAAAAAAAAAAAAACAATTTTTTTTAATTTGAATTTGACTTTTTCATCCAACCGCCATTTTCCACAAAAATAAAAATAGTATTTTGGAAAATTTTAGACGTGAAAATTAAATAAAATTAATTTAATAGTAATTGATTAATTTAATATTATTCAAAATTGTTTAATTCGGTCAACTCGATCGCAGTGCACGTTTAATTGAAACAATCGCTTACAAAAAAAAAGGTAATCGCTTACAAAAAAGTGAAATATATCTATATAATATAAATCGGATTTGAAAAAAAAAATGGAAATGAAATTTCGTAATTAATTAATTTAAATTGATGTTATCCGATTTATATCAACTCCCTTCCAAAAAAAAAGGAAATATCCGATTCCTACCAAATCGATTAAAAAAAAAAAGGATTATGATATACGTCCGAATAAATTACAATTGAAATGTAGGCGGGATTATGAAAAAAAAAAAATAAAAAAACTTTACCGAATAAAGTAATAAAACGAAAAAAAAGCGGGAATATGAAGCGGGAAAATAAGATAATTTTTTTTGAGTTTTTTGAACAAATTTTCTTAGTCGTAATAATAGTAATATATTTCCAAAATGTTACCACACATTTTTTTCTATTTTTCTTGTTTTTATTAAATTTTATTTACATAAGATATACATTGGTTAATTTTAAATTGAACCTAAAAGTCAACTCCTCACACTTTTCGAAAAATGTTACCACACAATTTTTTTTTTCTTATTATGTTTTATTTACATAAGATATACATTAGTGGTTAATTTCAAATTAAATCTAAAATTCAACTTCTCACATTCTTGAATTTGAATTTTTAAATAAGGAAATGTGTTTCCATATTTTTTGGTAGTTAGAATATGTTGGATTCATTTATCTATAACTAATCATACACGTATTCAAAATTTGAACCGAAATAAAATTCTTTGAATTTTTTGCTAACAAAATCACCTTCCCATAATTTATTTATTTCAAAAAATGTTACCACACAATCTTTTTAATTTTGTTTTTCTATTAAATTTTATTTACATAAAATATACATTTGTTAATATTAAATTGAATTTAAAATTCAACTCATCACAAATTTGTATATATATATATATATATATATATATATATAGAGAGAGAGAGAGAGAGAGAGAGAGAGGACTCTCTTTTTTGTACATATTTAAAAAAAATCTAATCAAATTTTGAATCCCGAATTAAAATCGAATTGTAATGTGAATTGAAAAGATTTGAAATCTAATCATGTTGTAGAAAAGGGAAATCCATGGCAAAATAAAGGGATGAAAAAAATTCAAATTAAATTTAAGGGGGAAACACAGTTTTTTAAGCGGGAATTTGAAATATTTTTTCAAACATTTTTTCTTCTCCGTATTATATAGTAATAAATTTTTAAATAAATAAGAAATTCGTTTTATTAGGTATCCATTTTAAAAAAGGGCGGCTAATTGAGGAAGAAAGGAGAGAAACTGAGAAAGAACAGCTCTGAGTTTTCTACTTGCACAGACTCGACGATTGTATAGACGAAGCAACTTTCATTCCCTTTCAGGTTCACTGTGGTCTCTGACTTCAAATCATATGGAATCCTATAACAAACGCTTGCGTGATTGTTAAAGCTATAGAGACTTCTTGTAATAACGCTTATATTGTTTTCTGCGCAATTGTGTGTTCGAGGAGATGACCAACGAAGAAATTCCTCCGAAAACCCGTCGGGGAGATGAATCGAGGGGCATGGTGAAGTCAATCGGTGAGATCTTTTCCGATGGGGTCGAGCTTAAAGTCTACGAATTGGCTCTAGATGAGCCCCAAGGTAATTTTGACTTGGCCGGAGTGAATAATTATTACTGTTATCCGGTGACCGGATTTGATTTGCATGCATAATTACGTTCGTCGGTGTTTCCCGAGCTGTAAAAAGGATATCTTTATGCATATCTTCAGAATTTTGCCCAACTGGCAGTGGATTTGCTATACAATTCAATTTCTTGACATTGTTCATCTGTTTTTGGACAAGCGTGTTTGTAATTCAAGAGTGACTGGGGTTAGTGTTTCGTAGTTTTTGAATGATGTCCGGAAATTAACTAGAAAGTGCCAATTATTTGTTGCTTTACTGATCAGTATCTTGCCTGTGTCTTTCCATGTTCTGGTGGAGTTACTGATTTTGTTGATTGTTGTATGAATTTGTTTTAATGCAGGTTCTTTTGTGTTGTTTAGACCTAACTTTACGCTTTTCTCTGTTTGGCCACGTTAGAAGCTGCAAAGAAGAAAAAGATGACGATGAAAAAGAAGAAAAAGAAAAGTAAAAGCAAGTGAGGCATAAAGGTTCTGCATGCTTCCCCATTTTCAACTTTCTATAATTGGTGGATCTTTTAACTTGTGTCTTTTGTAATATTCAGTAAAACGAAAGAACTGTGTCAACAAACTGATCCACCAGTATAAGGACGAGTACGTTATTAGAATCTACATTATCGTTTCTGTTGAGTTTTGGTGAATATTTCTTGCACACACACTTCTTGTTTATTTATTACTTGGAAATTTTTATGTTTTGTTGGAACTTGGAAAAAAATTTAAGTTGTTACTACCTCTGTTTTGTTATATTTGTTGTCTTGTTTTTTCACATATATTAAGAGAAGTTATTGATGTTTTATGCTTTCTATTTTATGAATGTGTTGAATTACTGTCATTTTTAAAGTTCAACAGTTGACTCCCCAATCAAATGAGATGCTATTAAATTCATTGCTATTGGGGAAGTAAAAAAATAAATTGATCAACATTAACACACCCATCAATTGAGAAAATACGCAAAAAAATATGTTTGTCTTCCAAAAGTCACTTACGGAATGAAATAAGTATTTCTCGAAAATGTGACAGGTATTATAAAATGGAGGAAGTGAGTTTAATGCCTTCGCCTAGATTTATCTGAAAATTTTGTTGAAAATGCATGGAGAAAGAAAGATATGCAAGCAACGATTATTGAGGTAGGCACATGTCCTAGTGATCGCTTAGCTATTAATGACCATAAGATGATTGAGTAAACTCAACATGGATTTCTCGAGTAATTCTTTTTAAAACCACATAAAATGTTATAATATTAATGTGTTTGTGGCATCACATGCGCTTACTAGTAAGGTACTGATGGATTTACCAACTGGTTATATATTATTTCGAGTTTGGTCTGTGTTTGAGAATGGATTTGAGTTCTGATGTTTGAGATGGCATACAATTGTTGAAATTGCAGAGCACTTGACAACTCTACTCCTAATGTGTTTCCAATTGAGATAGAAAAAAGAAAGAAAATTGTAAATCAATCATATATGTCAGTTGAATGTGTTTCCTTCTGTAGACGTTATCTCGACCGCATTGGGGAAACAAAGTATTTGATGGCACTAAAGAATTTGTGTGATGCCGGTATTGTAAACCAATCATATATGTCAAGTCCATCCCGATTTTGTACTGTAACTTTGCAGGCATGCCCTCCCGTTTGCGATGTTAAGGGCAGCTATATATCGCAATTTGACCACACAATCTTGCCTCGCTCAACGTTCAAAGAAGTCATATCGAGAGGTGATGACTACTGATAACTAGTAAAATGGGTAAAATAGTATACATTCAAAATGGCTGTGAATTTTGGTTGGTTTTAACTGTTGGTAGAGCTTTGTTGTGCAATTTTTAAGAATTGTACTCTCAGTTTTAATTTTACCAGCACTCGTGGATTTACTTAGTGGATATGCTTGAATTCTCAATGAAGCCTTCTGTATGCTATGTCTGAAAGTTTGATTAACGAAATTAATTGCTCCAGTAAGATTCTTCTTCTGCCTTTANTTTTGTTTTTTTTTAAGCTTAGTTATTAGGTAGGATTGGAATACTTTCATTTGTTAAATTTTTTTACTGATGAAATTAAATAAATATATTGGGAGAATTAATAATTATATTTAGGGAAGGGATATGCCAGAGAAAGACCATGAATGCAGCCATTACATGAGGAACTTGATGCATTGGCTTTTTTCTGGTAATGTCACATTGAAATCTGCATCCTTAAAAGAACAAAAAAACTTTGGAGGAAAATACAATAATATGCTACAGATATTTAAACACACTGAAAAGTAAGTACTCAATATATTATAGAACATGGTCAATCACAAAAACTACAGCAATAAGAATCAAGCTTGAAAACCTCAATTTGGAGCTGCCGGAATTTGGGACCGAGTCCCTTGACCGGCGATCGGGTGTGCCCATAACACAGCCTAGTGGGTTAATACGTTGGCCACATCTTCCAGGCAAAGTTTGGGCCTCGTTTAAGTTGATTCCGGCCTGTTCGGCCCGATTAGCGCCTTGAATGGTCATCAGCCCACATAAGCACTCGGGCATTGACTTAATAACACGTTCAAGAGGTTGACAACAATTATCTGGAGGACGACTGTTGCCATTGAGGTAATTTAGGCACGGCTGTAGCTCGTTCATGCATTGTTGATTTTGCATTTGTGCCAAATTTCGTGTTGTCATGCAAGAAAATACGATCAAGATTATGGGAATTATTACACATTGTTTGGCCCTAATTTTGATCGCCATGATCTTTTATGTGTGAGGAAACTGGAAAGTACTGATTGTTGATGATTGTAATTAGTTAGTGTGTGTGTGAGAGAATTTATGTAGGATGTGTAAGGGGGCTAAATTGGCAGGTGGGAGTTGGTCATCAAACGCTAGGGGCATATTAGGTGACTTACTAAGAAAATGGGTATTTACTTATCAAAAAGAGGTATTGACTTGTACAACTGTTCAATTATGTTGAACCACTTTATGCATTTAACTTGAAACCGAAACTGGGTTTGACTACAATAAGATTCATTTATGAGAAGACTATATAATTATTGTACCTAGCGTGCAATATTTTTTATTTCGATTTTTTTTATCTATCTTCGCATATATTTAATTCAGTATGATGTGGGGTGTGACCAATAAGAAATTTGAATTTTTTTATGATTTGGTAGATTCAGACCATCAGTTTTTCATGAAGTCNCTTCTTTCTAAAACCATAATTATATTAATAAACGAAAAACTCAAATGAGTATAATATGAGTGTCAATAGATACATAGGAACAAAAAAATTTGGACGTACACTCTTAGAAGCACACAAGTGTCCAAGATGTACAAACTCCAACTAGGAGATTATCGAACACACAAAAAACCTAACTTCATTATCATACTTACACCTGCACGCACCTAAAATTGTGACCCAACATTGTCGTCGCACTTCTTTTCATGTGATCAACATCCACATGGATTCCTCAAGAATTTGGGGAATTCGAAATTCGAGAAGAAACATATATAACTGTAAGGGTTCTGGGATCCGTGATTTTAGAGACCTTGATCTGGAGTTGAATTTCCTCAAGCATATGGTGAACTCGATTTTTGGGGGTGAAGAATCAAGCCATGAAGTCGCAGCAATTTTTTGAAGAAGAAATCGCCCGTCGCCGCTGAAGAGAAGTCACTGCAATTTTGGGCTGAAGTTTTATTTTATTTTATTTTATTTTTGAATAATTGTGGCTGCAAAATGGAGAAGAAACGGGTTTTAAAATGTTGAGTTTAAGATGACATGGCTTTGGCTTTAAAGGGATGTGACGTGAATTTCTACGTGTAAGATGACGTGACATCGACTTTAAAAATGTTGAGTGCCACGCAATCTTAATGAGTGTCACATCAAAATTCCGATCGGACATATTAGCAATGCTTGGCTGGAACTGATTTTGAGACAAACTTGCATTACATAATAGGAGTTTAGTATTTAGCTGCAAAGTTGAAAAAGTTGAGATTTTTTGTAATAAAACAAAAGATTGGGGTTTTATAACCAATTAATCCTTATGGAAAATGGAAATAACATCTTCATATAATTAAAGTATATTAGATACTTTAGGATGCTTGGATACAAATCTAACTCAACAAAATCCAAACATTTTTAACTCAACCACTTTTTTAATTCAGTTGTAACTCAAAGTTACTATCATCAATATTATCAATATAATTAAATAATATTAAGCAATCATTGTTACACATTACATCAACTTTAATTCACTATTCATCCACTCACATAATTTTAACTACTTATCACTTTAAATCATCTCTCTTATACTTTTACATCAACTTTAATTATTTTATTTTAAATATTATTTTAATATATCAACTAGTAGCTAACTATATCACATTTTTCAAAATTAACTAAATCAAACCAAAAAATCCAATCAAATAAAAAAAAAATTTATATCCAAGCATATATCAAGAATAATATTTAGACTTTATTTCTTTCCTTCCTTAGAAACATCAAACTTCTTGCCAGAGTTTGTGCTGGGTTTCATCTGATTGGGATTCCACCCGCGAGCACGCTAAAACTGTTCAGGTTCTTCGATATTGAATTTGAAATCATTGAAACCCTTTTAAATTGCTCGATTGCGCATACGTGATCCAAATGGCCGACAAAGAGATTTCCCCTGAAATCCGTTCGGAAGATGGAGCAGCGGACGCCGCGAACGGACCCAGCGACTCAACCAGTAAGATTGTGTCGGCAGAGGTTGAGGATGAACTGGACGAGTTAGCTTTGGACGAGCCCCGAGGTAATTCCATGGCTGCTTTATTTTCCCCAATAGATATGAGCCACTAGCTCGTTTCACGCGCTAATGCAGTCTGCTTATGTAATTCTTATTATTCATGGGAACTGTTTCCATAGTTTTTTAAGGGTTGATTGTTTTATCTTTTCCGTTCTATTACTGCTGAAGTTTATTTGGTATCTCGTTTGCTTCAATACTGGGGTGGTGGATCAGTGAACATCCTTTACTATATTTGTTTTGAATCTTGCTTAATTTGTACATGGAAAAAGTGTATTCATTATGTAGCAGAACTATAATACCAGAATGATTTGTGAAAGGAAATACCTTTCTCCTATTTCTATATAAGCTGGTGACATGACTAATCTGATCTGATGAACATCGTCGGCCTTCAAAGATTCCTTCTTTTTAGAGAATAGAGAGAAGTTTGTTGTATTATTGATTCTATGGACCACCCTTTTCTCATAAACTCCTGGGAGACCTTCATTAGATTCCTCTTTGTAACCTATAAATCCTTCATATATTGCCGTTGCACAACCATGAGGCCCAGTCACCTTATTATCCTGATATTCAGACAATGTATATCATGTTTTGTTTCGTTCTCCAGAAACGATCTCTCTAGAGAATCTTTTGTAGTGGAACCTAATTGATCCCAAACCTTCAATTCCACACTGTTTCTGTTCCACACTTCATATTCAGAAATTTATCAATCTGAATTGTTTGTAATTTTTTTCCTTAAACAGCCAGTGCATTAAGAAATTTAGAAATTAATTCGAAATGGCTATTATTTTGTTGTGTTGCTGATTGATATATACTTGACCCTCTTAAGTTGAGTTAGTACAGTTTCTAACTTTAGTGATTGATCTTTGGAATTGTTCCATGAAGGTTTGTTTTTGTACTTATTCCTAACTTCTTCAACTACTCTATGTGACCATTTTAGAAGCGGCAAAGAAGAAAAAGAAGAAGAAAAGTAAAAGCAAGTGAGGATTTTTTTTTTTAAGCTTCCCCTCGTTGTACTTCATTTATTTGACTTCTCAAATCAACTAGCAAGTGTCCTTTCTAATTTTCAGGAAGAAAAAAGAACCACTTCAGCAAACTGATCCGCCATCTATTCCTGTTGTTGAGCTTTTTGCATCTGGCGAGTTTCCAGAGGGTGAAATTCAGCAGTACAATGACGAGTATGTCAATAAAGATTACATATTTTCATAATGGTTTCAGATACTTTATTTAATTCTTGGAGTCTCATATAGCTTTTAAAGGTTTTATCCCTTTGATTAGAGTTATCTTCGAATTTCTCTCAGAGGTAGCTAATGTAATTATAGAGAGGAAATATATGCATTAGCAAATAAAGAAGTTGGATGACACAGGAAGCTACATCTATTTAGCCTCGTCTCGACTTTTTCTAATCACTGGTATAAAAAGTACTTAAATGCTTGAACATTTCACCTAACAGATTTGGGTGTGCCTGCACCGCTGCAAATACATATATAGGTGGAGATTTCCCCATTTCTTGATTTATGTCCTTTGTTACGAGTTGTGTCATAGAAATTGATAAGTCATTTGTCTACCATGCATCCTATAATGATTATGTACACATGTAGTAATTTTTTTTTCCTCATAGTAGGTGTGAATTAATTATGTCAAAACACTTACCTTTTATTCTGAGGAGTCCCAAAATAACTAATGGTTCAATGTAGTAACCTGTGGAGAACTACATCTGAGGAAAAGAGAGAACTGGAGCGACTGGAAAAACCACTTTACAATGCAGTTCGCCAAGCAGCAGAAGTCCACCGTCAGGTAGCATCGAACTTATGCTTAATGTTGTTGGCTTAATATTAAACAAATTATGTTTTAATTTATTCTTTTTAAAATTTGATCATGTAATCCTTGACAGGTTCGACAATACATTAGGAAAATTTTGAAACCTGGAATGTTGATGACCGACTTGTGTGAGACCTTGGAGAATACAGTTCGTAAGTTAATATCGGAGAACGGTTTGCAAGCTGGCATTGCATTTCCTACAGGCTGCTCATTGAACTGGTGAAGTTTGTTATTGATTGACGGTTCTTTCAACATTTTATTTTATTTTATTTTTCCCGAGTCTTTTAAAAGTTTTCACACTTCTCTATTGTCTTCTTTATGCTCTTTCTACTACAGGGTTGCTGCCCATTGGACTCCAAATACAGGGGATAAAACTGTGCTTCAGTATGATGATGTGATGAAACTGGACTTTGGAACTCACATTGATGGTAATTCACTTCCACTAGTTGTTGTCCTACATTTTGGAGACTGTTGTTACTCTTTTTTTCCTTGTGATTGTTTGACTTCAGATTTGCCATTATTTGTAGGTCATATAGTGGATTGTGCGTTCACTGTGGCATTCAACCCTATGTTCAATCCTCTGCTCGAAGCTTCACGTGAAGCTACGAATACCGGTATAAAAGTGGGTACCATCGCCATTGCTGCTTCTTCCATTGTTGCTGTTGTTTGTAGTGGTTTGTTGTTGTTGTTGTTGTTGTTGTTGTTGTTATTATGACTTATTGCAATTAAATTATTCAAGCATAGATTTGTGGGGGGTTTGTTTTATTTTATTATTCCTTCATTGTTCATATTCTTACTATTTTTATAACAGGAAGCTGGAATTGATGTGCGTTTGTGTGATGTGGGTGCTGCAATTCAAGAGGTCATGGAGTCATATGAGGTTGAAATCAATGGAAAGGTGTTTCAGGGTAAAGATTTAGTAGACAACTTGAGCAACATGTGTTTAGCATGAGCTCAGCATCCTCCTGATTTCATCATTGCCTACCTTTATTATACCCATCGTCATCATTCGTCCTTTTTCCCATCATTATCACACTTATTTCTTGAAATATCATTAATGAAAAAGAAACATGTTTGTTATTTTGCTTGTTGACCTCGACTAGAACTTGTCAAACCACAATGATTCCCACATCGATTAGTTACTAGGTTGTTATTGTGTATAAGTGTGGGTCGGGCACTTTCTCCCTTTGAGCTAGCTTGGGATGAGTTCTACCTAGACATGGTACCAGAGCACTTAGGTTTTGTTTGTTTGTTTGATTGGGTTTGGACCCAGCCCATTTGGTTCGGCTCACTGCGGGGGTAAGGGCGGGTGTTAGAAGTGATGTTTGTCCAACATTGATTAGTTACTAGGTTATTGTGTATAAGGATAGGTTGGGCGCCTTTCCTTTTGAGCTAGCTTTTGGGGATGAATTCTACTCAGACCAAATATCATGATATCAGAGCACCCGGTTTTTGTTTGTTTGGAGGTGATGTTGGTTTTTGGACCCGGCCCATTTGGTTTGGCCCGCTGCATGTGAGAGTGAGTGTTAGAAGTTATGTTTGTCCCACATCGATTAGTTACTAAGTTATTGCATATAAGTGTGAGTTGGGTGCTCTCTCCATTTGATCTAGCTTTTTGAGTTCTACCCAGGCCACTTGTCAATAGTCAAGATAAAGTGAATCAGAAAAGCATGTATTTGATACTATTAGTTTCGAAAAAGAAATGAGAACATAACTTGAGCAAAAGAGACAACTCAGATGTAACCCTAATGGGCAATTTTACCCTATGAAATGAAAGCCCTATTAAGTAACTCATAAAATATATCCGGCCTTGCTGCTTGATACGTAACATTGCAGTTATTTCAAATTTTGGTGTTTGGTTTTGAGAAAAGTTTTCATGTCTGCTGTTGTAGATGTAGCATACAGCAGTTTAAATTGCAGATTACTTAAGACGACCTGTAAGCTGATAAGCTGCTAGTTCCTAGTCTTCAACTGATTTGTATCAGTGTTATGAATGGTGGATGGCAGAAAATGGTGGCAGGATGTAATTCCGCCACAGTGGCCTGTGGCTGCCGTAACTGGCTATCCTTCACAACTTTCTAATGGCGGACAGGCAGAAATTTGCATCGCCTTACCGCCAATGCAGAAATATGATAGCATTGATTTGTATATTAGAAATGTTTCTTTAATTTCCTATAAATCCTTGGTTTTCTTGGCAGGAAAGCCTAGTTTTTTTCGGTATTATCAGTTGCCAAGTGAATATGAAGTGCATAATTTGTTCTTTCTTGTTATTGTTTTATTCTGCAATTGCCATGTATGATATTCGTTTGTAGTATTAAATTACGTAACATTTTTAATCGCATACCATACATAGCCATATGGTGAACACCTTATTGATCTGGATGGTTTGGCTGTTTTGGCAGTGAAAAGTATCAGAAATTTGAATGGGCATAGTATCGGGCCTTATCAAATTCATGCGGGAAAATCTGTCCCAATAGTCAAAGGAGGAGAGCAAACAAAAATGGAAGAGGGTGAATTTTATGCAATTGAGACTTTTGGATCCACAGGTGAGATCTTCTTTTTTTTTTTTTCTTCTCTTGGTCTGAGGATGAGAATTTTGTTGGTGCACTTATGTTGTGGAGGTGTATTATCCTTTTCCTTCATTTTGTGTTATGTAGGGAAAGGATATGTCAGAGAAGACCTTGAATGCAGCCATTACATGAAGAACTTTGATGCCGGTCATGTCCCACTACGATTGCCCAGAGCCAAACAACTTTTGGCAACTATTAATAAGAATTTCTCGACATTGGCTTTCTGCAGACGTTATCTAGACCGCATTGGGGAAACAAAGTATTTGATGGCACTAAAGAATTTGTGTGATGCTGGTATTGTTCAGGTATGTATTTTTCTTAAGAAAAATGAAGGCTTGGCTTAGACTGCATTTTTTATAAGAAGCCTGATACTTTCTTTGTATTCAAATTTTGAAGTAGTAGCATTTAATTGAAAATTCAAAGCGTGGGCCTTCTGTTAGCGCTTTTTAGTTAACGTCGCTTTTATGCTTTGAAGAAGAGAGTGTCGATCATACTGACATTGGCGTCTAAAATACTTTCGAGCTTTTTTGGTTTGCAGGCTTGATTGTTTTACAACTTTTTTTTTGGGTTGAATATGCCACTGAGTTTAAGAATAACCCAGATTTATGTGAGTTCGTACATGAATTTGATTGCCAACACCAGCAAGTAGTATGCAGTAAATAAAATTTGCTCCTAGGCTACAAACGCTCAGCATCATTATCTCATGTACTGTTTGCAAGAAGATAAATTGCCAGTAGTGTAGAGATTGCATGAAAATTCTTCGAGGCTTACGGATGGATGGTGCTATTTATAAAGGCCATCCGAAAGAATCCCCTTAAGTTTAGCAATAGTACAGATGCAACTTTAATCTTATTACTGTCGATCTTAGTTCATTCCATTCAATTTTTTATGAACTGAAGACCTTGAAATTTGTTCAAACTTGGCAGCCATACCCTCCTCTTTGTGATAATAAGGGCAGCTATGTTTCTCAATTTGAGCACACAATTTTGCTTCGCCCAACATGCAAAGAAGTCGTGTCAAGAGGAGATGACTACTGATGAAGAGAAGTACGAGCGGCACGATTATANGTATAACATGGATTTAACTATATTAGGAACTTTGTTGAGATATTTAAGCACATTACTTCTTCCCTACACTTCTTACATCCAAGACTCCACAGTTTTACAATTTGTTTACTGTTGTATCGGTATCGGATAAAATTTTGAAACATTAATTATGGTGGTTTTCGTTGGTATTACTAATTATGTTTAGGTTTGATGAGCCTTGACACGGTATTGTTGTATTCACTGCTGACTACCCTGATTGATTTTTTTCCCCCTCTTTTTATTTTGTTCGTACAAGTAATATCTGGTCTGTATTTTCGTTTGGCAAATGTAACTTAGAAACTAGCTGAATGTTAAAAGGTAATAAGAAATTTTATGCAATTCGGACCGGTTGCTTCAGAGCTGACTTTGCGTTGGTTTAGGTCATTGAATTGTTTTACAATAGATCCCCTATCAAATCCGGTTGACCCGATTCTGACCCGTGCATTGACCTATGTGGGTAACCTACTAGACAAGGATTTTTTTTAGAAAAAAAAATATGGTAAATATTAATGGTAACAAACATAACTTTACTTTAAAATATAACATTTAATTGTATAATATATTGTATTTATTATTTTTTAAAATAAAAAATATTTGAATGAACATATACTAAGATGATGGACATACTGCTTTACATAACAAATATTTTATTTTTTATTTTTAAATGTATTTAATGTTTAGAATAAACATCATTCGTATATATTTATTTGAAAAAAATACTTATTTCAATAAATAATATTACTTAAACTGCTAAAATAACTTAATCAAACAACTAAATACACATCCAATAAAAAAGGAATAAATTAAACAATTCTAACCATGGGGAAATCAAACTCAAAAAAAGAGATTAACACAATAAAAAATAAATAAAATCATAATATAAATTTGAAGTACTGAAAAACTACCCATACCACCTCCTCAAACAAACTTGTTGCAACTGATGTAGCCATAGGCTCCAAGCTGCCTATGGCCTTCCATGGACCGGAAATTCCACGGGTAAAATATACAAGATCCCCTTGTATTATACGAAATTTGCGCGTTTCCTCCCTGTATTTTAAAAATTGCGTCAGACCCCCTTCTGTTAAGGTTTTGTATGCGCGAAACACCCAAAATTTAGACGATTTTGGGTGTTTCGCGCATACAAAACCTTAATAGAAGGGGGTCTGACGCAATTTTTAAAATACAGGGGAGAAACGCGCAGATTTCGTATAATACAGGAGGGTTTGGTGCGTTAAACCCGAAATTCCACCAAAGCTCACAAACACAGTCCAACATATTTTGAAGCCACTAATCTTGAAGAAGATACAAGAACCTATATCCAAAACTCTCATATATGAAAACTTATTCTCGTTGATCAAGAGTTTTAACTCAAGCACATATTCCCGTTGCTTTGTGTACTCTTACTATATTATATGTCATATGCATTTTATTGTTTTCATTTTAGTTGTAGAAAAAAAGAAAAGCAATGCAATAATAAAAGGGAAGGACATTAAATGGGAGAGTTTGCGATTTTTATTTGGGACCTTAGTTGAACAAATATTTTTATTAGTCTTGATTTTCTACTTGGAGAGAAGACCAATGAAAATTTATTATTCTGGAGAAAGATTCGTTTTTGTAGGTTTACATAGCATGAAGATCTTTATATCCTCTTTCTACATTCCAAAATATAAAAATTTGGAGATTCAAGACTCTATAAACCTACATGACAAGTCTGACATTATGTGTATCAATTTTCACAAACTTTGAAATTAGTCATTACTTACATTGCATTGAACTTTCCTAGATACATCAGATAGAGTTCGTGAGTTTCATTATATTTCATAGGTAGTTGTGGAGTTTTAGTCGTGTTGTTTCATCAACTAAAGTTTCTACATTTGAATTAGTTGCTGGAATAAGGATATGAGTGTTGTAGGGGTGGCCAGTCAACGGGCCCGGCCCGGCCCGGCCCGCCAGGCCCACGGGCCTCCCTTGAGTGACCCTTAACCGGCCCGCCAAAAAGTAAGGGCTGGGCCCGTGAACTGGCCCTGTCCCAGCCCGGTCCCGGACCCGTCCCGGACCGCCGGGACCAAAAATGAAAAACCGAGACCCGTTTTCGACCCATAAAGCCACGGTTAAGGGTCTCGGAACCGGCAACCACGGGCCCGTTGCGGGCCGAGCCGGGACCGAGACCACGGGCCGGTCCGGCCCGTGGTAGAGTGTTGGGATGAGACCATCATACAATTCGAAAGATTTTTAAGTATGTTTTTTGAAGTACACGTGTTGCTAGAAAAGTATAGTAAGAGTACGTAAAGTAAGAGATTTCCTTTTTCTCAAAAGACTTCAATTGATACGCACAATAAATAGGCCAACTTCATGATATTTGTTGGGTTTCTGGTGGAGTCAAATTCTAGTTCGTACGGATCAATGGAATATACCCACAACATCTTATGCCCATATATAAAGGGCACAACCAGCATGAATGCTCTCTTTTAACTCTATTTAACCAGTTGAATATCTTTTTTAAGGAAGTAATATAAGATTTTATTTGGAATCCACAACGCAAAATACTCATCTTTTTTTATTTTTCCTCTTCTATTGAATATATCATAATAACTACCTACATTTCAAGAAATTGTACACCACGGAGATGAACCAAATAGAGAGANAAAAAAAAAAAAAAAAAAATGATTTGCTAAGATAGAATTCATAAAGAATCATATCACAAAATTCTTATCTATATTCGTGGATACTATCTTAATAAAAGAATTTTGATAAGGAGCGACACTTTTCCAAAAGTTTAAATTAACTTTCATATTTTGCGGCCGGCCACTTGGCGATTTCTTATTTGATTGGACTTCATTTGGTGTTTGCTCCTCTCCCAGTTTGAGAAATTGGCTCGAGCATAATGTGATCGGGGATTCCTACGAGTTCTAGTTTAGCCTTTAAGCCTTCGGCCTTCTTCATTGTACCAAAATAATTAACTTCCATATTTTTAATCAACTTACTTTGGTCCTACTTGTTTTTAAGATTTTTTGCCAAAACGTTATTTTAGCGGTTTTGACCCGATTGAGAAAAGCTAAAATTGACTTTTTTGCTGTTTGGTAAAATAGCTTTTGAGATTAATTATAAGTTCAATAAATGTCCTTATAAGTAATTTTACATGTTACCATCGGATTAAAAATAGCAATTTTACTAAACCCTATTTTACAAACCGCTAGTACAATTAACTGATCAAAATAGTAAATGTAATCCGTTAACAGCTAACCGCTGATCAGAAGGTGGAAGCAATCAAGTCTATTAAAAACTTGAAACCTGAAGAGAAAGATTGAGTGATCTGGGATTGGAATGCTAAAGGGGATTTTACAGTGGCATCAACCTACAGTAAGCTTGTGTGGGAGTAATGGAGTCAAATGGATAATACTGAGAGCAGTATGGAGCAGAGAGTGGGTAGGTTAGTCAGAAAGAAAAGTTGGTCATTGCAAATCAAAGGGAAAGTGAAGCACTTTGTTTGGAAATGTTATTCTAATCTCATTCCAGTAAATTGTAACCTGTGAAAAAAAGGGATACCAGTTGATTTGATTTGCAAAGCATGTGGTGAAACCCCAAAATCTACATATCATCTATTCTTTCATTGTGGTAGAGCTAAAATGATCTGGGAAATTTCACCTGTCACTTGGATGGACTGGTTCATGAGACTACAAATTTCAAAGGATGGTGGAATTCTCTGTTCTTATAATGAAAAAAGGTCCCACAATTGATGACAGACTTCAACTCACCTCATATATATTAAGGGATATTTGGAAAGCACGAAATCAATGGGTGTTTGAACAAGTCCAGAGATCAGCAAAAGAGGTGGCGCAATTTGCTCTGAATGATTGGTTAGATTTCTCAGATAGATGATCAAACTAAAATTGGAGACCAACTAGGTTCCTCTAGTGTTCAGTGGTTGTTATTCAATTTAGGGTGTTCCTCTGATTTCATTGTCTTTGTTCTGTTTGTCTTCTTTGTGATTAGTGTGTTATTTTCATTTGGTTTGTGGAGTTGGCAGTCTTGTAATCCTGTGGTGATTGTTTTCTAGTAGATGGTTAGTTTGTCTATGTTGGTTGGGCTAGTATTGGGTAGATTGATGTAACTTAGTCTCTGCTACCTAATATTTGCACTGTGTAATGTTTCTAGGACACCATTGGTGATTGGTGTAGACATATCTATTATTATTATTATTATTATTATTATTATTAGATATCTTAGAGAATAAGTTATGAATTGTTTAATATTTAATAAGAGCTCTTGTCTTGTTGGACAAGTTAGGTCTAGGGTTAGGAGCCTTATATAAAAGACTCCCTCTAGTTTATTTTCATTAGTTGATTATTGAATGAAAAATGAGATTGTGAGTTTTATCGAGAGAGTATCTCGTTCGTTTATCTTTCCCATTCGTACGCTTCCCTACATCAGTTGGTATCAGCAGTCAGTACGATTCGCGATGTCGCCGGGACGAGAAGATGCCGCAGACGAACGACGTGACGCAACCTTCAACGATCGGTTTCAACAGATCGACTACCGATTTGAACAATTGGACGTGCGTTTCACGGATTGGTTTGCCGATCTTTCGACGGGGATCGAGGATGTGCATTTGACGCTTAACAACGTGATTGTTTCGGAATTGCAGACGAACCGCGATGGGGCTGTGGGCCGTGGCTTTCGCGGGGGAGACAGAGGCGGTTGTGGGGGACGCAGCCATGTCGGGGCGCCCCGGCAGCGATCCCCGCCACCTCTGAACGGCATCAAGGATGGTGACTTTACCTGGTCGGCTAACCCGTTGGCAGATCGACCACCATGGCGAGGAGACGAAACCACAGGTCAACCCCGAGTTCGCGAGCAACGGCGGGCTGGAGGTAGTTTCGTACATGGAGGCGGATTTTGGGCGTGTGAAAGAGACGACTCCAGTTGCACTTCTGGGCCTCACAAAAGCATTTTTGGGGCTTGTGAGGGTGATGTCGTTTTTGGGCCTGCGCCCAATTCAATTTATTGGGCTGAGGGGAAGGATGAATTTAATCCTTATTTTGGGCCTGAACAGCCACAAACAGGCTTTGACTTCGAGTTTATAGATTACCTGAATTTTGAGCCCGACACGTGCGATATCTACGACGGTCCGCCAATTTTTGATGAAGAGCCTTCGGTGACGAAGACATATTTTTGCAGTAATATGGGTCCCGCGTGGGACGTCGCAACTGTTGAGTCTTCGAATGGGCAGCCGTCATTCACACCCGATTTTTTGAGTATTTTAGCCAAAGATGGTTTTTCGGAGCCGAAGCCGAGACTCCATAACTGGTGGGCCATTTTTCGATTGTTGTTCCCGAAGTCTCCCAACACCGGGATGCTTGGCCGTAGTTATAGATTTATGCGCGGTGAACGATGTGGTCTGTTTTGTGTTCATTCGGTTGTGTGGGCTTTGCGTCGGGTGTCGTGTACATGTGACTTTGCGGCAGTTGAATCCTTGACCGAGATTATGTTTACCTTCGAGATTGTTGGACGACTTTCAACCTTCGTGTTCGATCGGGGGAAACGTTCGGGCTGTTGCTGTCTTGAGGACGTCTCCAACGGGAACGGGTCGGATTCGAGGGCGAATCCTGCTCAACCGGGGGAGAATGGTGTAGACATATCTATTATTATTATTATTATTATTATTATTAGATATCTTAGAGAATAAGTTATGAATTGTTTAATATTTAATAAGAGCTCTTGTCTTGTTGGACAAGTTAGGTCTAGGGTTAGGAGCCTTATATAAAAGACTCCCTCTAGTTTATTTTCATTAGTTGATTATTGAATGAAAAATGAGATTGTGAGTTTTATCGAGAGAGTATCTCGTTCGTTTATCTTTCCCATTCGTACGCTTCCCTACATCAGTTGGTATCAGAGACTTGCCATTCGTACGCTTCCCTACATCAGTGATCCTCCTGTGCAGGAGTTACTCTACATTTGGGCTAGTATGCTCACGAACTTTGTACATTCATTTCAGTTTAATTCCATCTATTGTTTTGTTAAATAATAATAATAAAAAAAACAGTTAACCGCTGATTACCAAGTTTTTTATTTTTTTACTAATGAGTCCTATAATTTTAGGCTGCATCTAGACATGGCCACGGGCTGGGCGGCCCGTCGTCCCGGTCCCAGCTCATAACCGGCCCATAGGTTGCCTGTTCCGTGAACCGGCACCGTGGCTTTACGGGTCGTTTCCGAGTCCTTTTTTTTTTATTTTGGTCATGGCGGGTCGGGACAGGGCCGATTCACTGAGTCGGCCCTTGGTTTTTGGCGGGCCGGTCAAGGGTCACCCATAGTAGGCCCCGCCGGGCCGGGCCACTGGCCATGTCTAGCTGCATCAATCAATGTTTTTCTAGAGAGTGAAGTAAGAGAGATAAAACAGTAAGGGTAAAAAGGTGAATATAGAAGAAAATTGCATCTCTCAAAAGGATGGAGAAAAAGAGGCTGTGAGGGATTCTCAGCAGTTATGGCGGCCGCAACTGGCTGTAACTTAACCACTCATCTCATCTTTAGGGGTACCGCCCCCTTCATCCACTCTTACCGGCGCACCATTGCCGTAGCCTCCGGCGGCCTACCCGGAAACCGCCGCCGCAGCATCGCCGTCCCATCTCATAAGGTAAAATTCGCACCTTCACCGCTGATAAGATCCTGTCCTCCGATTTCCATTTCCTATGGGAGAGGAATAAGAGGACTGCCGGTGTTATGCTACTCCACGGAGACGGAGGCGCAGAATAGCACGGCCGCGACAGCCCCAACGACGGTGGGTGAAGATGATGGTGCCGCCATTAAAGACGCGGCCAACACTCTGGACCTGAGAGTGGGGAAAATCCTCAAGGCCTGGAGGCACGGGGAGGCCGATTCTCTCTACGTGGAAGAGGTGGATGTTGGTGAACCCGAGCCCAGAACCATTTGCAGCGGCCTTGTCAAATACACTCCCATTGAACTTCTCCAGGTCTCTTCCATTGTTCCATATACATTCTTGATCTATCTCTTGGGTATGATAATGTGATCTGTGGTTGAGTCGAGAATTTTTAGCATTAATTTCAAGTTTTCCAAACAAATTGTTATATTTTATTCCCGTTGCAATTTTTATTATTAGTGCATTGTGTAAAAGAATTGTGACAGGACTGGAGTATGAGAAAGACAAAGTAATGACAATTAATGACTTGTATTATATGAAGAATTTGTATACTGAGTTATTTTGAGAAGTTGGATATAATATGGGATTGTTTTTGATAATGTTGTTCCAGGATAGGAGTGTAGTTGTTTTTGCTAATCTAAAGCCTAGAAATATGCGCGGTGTGAAATCCTTTGGAATGCTGATGGCTGCTTCTGATGCGGCACATGAGAATGTCGAGCTTATTGTGCCACCTGAGGGTGCAGTTCCAGGTGAGAGAGTATGGTTTGGCTCTCTTGACGAAAAGGATAACCTACCTGAAGCTGCAACACCAAACCAGGCAAGTATTTACGATCAGTAATAATTCACTGGTAGTCGTGTTGCTTGAGTTTGTTTTTTGTTTACCCCACATATTCAAAGCTATCTCTTCCTTTTCATCCAACATTATCGTAGGCGATGTTTAATTCAATGTAGTCTGTATATGTGATCTCATTGTTTTCCTTTTCTTTTTTGTGTGTGTAATGGAAACCCAAAACTGAAGTGTGTAATATGCATCTTTATTATCATACGAACTGATTTGGTTTCCACAATATATTCAGTATCATTCTTCAAATGAATTAGTTGGGTAGCCTTGGATTCCAAATATACTTAATCAGTGTGATTCGTGAAATGAATTAGTTGGGTCTTGCAATCCAAAATATACTTACCTGATTTTTTTCATTAAATATTGACAATGGAGTTGTATCCTTATGCTTATCCCATCGAGTTCATATTTGTTTACTGAATATTTTCAAATAATTTGGTGTCTTGATTCCAGCTTTGGATTGAAATCCACTAGTTCCATGTCCGTTAGCCCAACAAAAATGATTCTTTTTAACTAGGACTAATTCAGATATAGGTGTTGGTCTCTAAAAGTCATCACTGCAATTAGACAAACTTTTGTTTCTTTCATATGTGTGCTCCTTTCATTCTAAATAAGGAGTGATAAAAGTGTGATATGTCTGGGTGAGGGGTGATGTCACCACCTAGATCTTAATGAGTACAATTGCTAATTATATTATGTCAATGCTCATTATTAATGGCATCAGTAATAAACGGTATTAAATTTAAGAGATGACATGTACTTATCACACAGTGCTATCCTATGCACATTTTTTTTAATGGGTGCGTAATCCTGCTTCTCAGTAGAGAGTTCTAGATTGACCAGAGAATTTTAGATTCACATTCAAGATTTATGTTTGGTCAACGTAATAGAAAATAATGGACATTTAGGATTTACTGTAACTTCTCGCTTGTCCGAAGGTTTCATCTTCCCACTGTTTTGGTTGCTTGAACCAAACCAATTATCTAAAACTTCGAGGAATCACTCTCGATAATGGTGATTGAATGTGTTCTCCAACCAAGTGTCCATTATGGTGGCACCCAATTCTACTGTAGTTTTCACAGTGCAGTTGGTATTAAAGTGATTATTCTGGCAGTTGGTGCAAAAATGATAATTCATGTTATGTGATCTAGAAGACAGGAGATTTTTTTTATTTATTTATTTTTTTTTTCTTTTCATATGCTGCATATTGACAAGATTAGTTTATATACTTCTGGACATTATTAACAACTTGCTTCACGGTTGTTATAAGATGCTGGCAAAAACCCAAGGCCATAAAAAACTCTTACCATCAATTTGTATATATAATGCATTAGAATGTTGGGAAGTTTTTAGTTCTTGGAGTATGATAAAAGCTACTGATGGAATAATAATAAACTTACCATCAATTGTTGCTCAATGGATTATCTTCAAATATAAGCAATAAAGAGATGCAGTCTGATTGTTAATGGAAATGGGAGCAGGTTGCTAGATAATGTTTGCGTAACACTCTAAAATCTGATTCCTTTTCTTGAAATATCTATTGACAGGAAGAATGTCTCTCAAGTTTAACTTCCAGAAGCAGCTAGCATAACCAGATCATTTTTATAATCTTCTCAACTGAAATTCATGTTACTATTGAAGCTTGTAATGTCCCTTAATAAATTTGGCACGTTATTGCTCCTGTTGCTCTTAGAATCCCATTTTTTTTTTTTGGTTTAAAACTTGCTCTCATTCTATATATGCATACATATACAACTTATTATTGGACGTGATTCAGGTTCAGAAGAAAAAGATATGGGAGCAAGTCCAGCCTCACCTGAAGACAGATGAGTCTTGTGTTGTTACTCTTGGCGTATACCCGATGCGAACGTCAACTGGCGTTGTAGTCAGCCAATCTTTGAGGAATGCGAATGTATCCTAATAAGTACTCTAATGTTGTCTTCAATTTTCATCCTTTTCTTGGGTCCCTCAATTGGGATAGGAAAAAGGAAACAAGAAATCCTGAGCATTGAATCTTAATCATCTGTTGAATGTGGAAAAAGCTTGTNCAGTTTACAGTATTCTAAGGAGACCCTTTATACGACTGCACATAAGAGAGTAGTACAAAGTGATCCAAAAACTACTTTCATGTTAGACTCTTTATATTACATTTTTTCCAGTTTTTTTCAAGTGCAACAGTCTTATCTACGAAAAGATCGATGGTTTTCTTAAAGATATTTATAGAAAATGTTATTGCCGACCCCATTTCCTAAATAGAAAAGTTGTTAAGAGAATGAAAACATAGATATTTCATAGAACTTATTGATATCAAAATAAGAGATAAGTTAGATAGTTAAAGAGAGTTTAACTATGACAGCATACAAAATAGGCCTAGGCCTCCAACTGGACAGAAAGAAAACCGGATATTTAAAAAAGTTTCAATAAAAGCATTAGTGCGTAGAGAGTTTGCAATACTTATGCCGTCGTCTGACCTCTCCATTTCAACTTGAGACATATTGTCCTGTCATACGTCCTATTTCGCAATTCTGAAAGGTCCGTCCACTGAATGAGCTGCCCATATAAAGTGGTCACGTGCACTTGCTCCAAATCGTGCCGCCAAAAGTAGGGCTCGGTCCCCAGGCTCATGTTTGCAAGCAAGATGTTGAACTGAAACTCTGAGAGCCTGTGGGTGTTCCAATCCGACTGGCTCAGCTGCGTACAACTCCATATACTCCTCGGTCGACAAACACGAAACAAAGCATTCGTAAAGCCCGAGTGCCAAGATGCCGTCCGACATTTAGAAGTGCTAAATTTCAAGTTCTCCATCACCACAGGCGGTTCGTCACTGAAAAGACGACTGCTGTCAACAGCACCCCATGGCATGTCCAGAGGGCCGCCATCCATATGCAAAATCAGAGAAATCTGAGATCCACTTAGTGCCTTGAGCATTCGTCTCAGCTCAAGGAACCACCAATTGACGTCGAAATCGGGATCTTCCTCATACGAGTAGAGAAATATTCCTGAATACCACTGCTTGGATGTAGTGGTCGTGAAAGAGAATGTGTCCGGCACCTGGGGAATACCGGCAGTGAAATTAAATCTGACAATGTTGGGGGCACAAATCGTAACTCCTTTAAGTGGTATATATATTGTCGAGATGTTCAAGTACATGACCGAATCACTTGCAAGATGGAATTCCTCGAAACCGGAGCAATCAGTTAGGCTCAAGTTTTCAAGAGTCGGGCAGCGGAACGATAACATGTCGATCGACTCGCTCGACAGGATCACATTCCAGAGATACAAACTCGTGAGACGAGAGAACATGAATGTGCTTTGGCGGTCAGACCAAATCCATGGGCCCCCGATGGAGACTGTCTCGAGATTCGGAACATCGATTTCGATGCTACGCCCTTCAATAATCTTGAAATCAGTCAATGCAAAGTGCTTGAGCCCAGGTGCCTCGCTCAGCCTAACGTTTCTCAACTCCCAACAACTACTAAGGTCAAGGCGCCTGAGCATAGGGCATCCCAACGCTTTCGTCTCCAAAGTTCCGCCATCAACTTGGACACAATCGAGGGTGAGTGTGCGCAGACATTTGAACCGCACGCTCTCAACCGGGCTCAGCTTGCATTTGCACAGGTGTAGTTCTTCGAGGGACTCGGCTAAGAAGACTGCCGAGGGCAGGTTGTAATACGGCGGAGGAAATGAAAGAAAGTTGAGTTTGAAAGCTTTTATGTTGAGGGCGGCTATTATCGGGATCCATTTGTCGAGAAGGGAGATGACCGGTCGTGAGACTGGCCTGGATAAGCAGAGATAGAGTTTGTCTATGAAGAGGTTTTGATCAAGGTATCCATGTAGGATTCGGTTGACTACAGAGACAAAGGTTTGGTGTGTAGTGTTGAAATTTTTTTCCGAAGCGTTGAGGTTGGGGCGTGTAGATCCTATGGAGCGGTTGACAGAGACAAACTTTTCTTGTGTGTCGTCGAACCATTCTTCGGAGAATTCAAGGTTGGGGCGGGTTGATCCTATGTGGCGCCATTGTTTGGAGAGTAGACAAGTTTTCACAGCTTCTTTCTGAGAGAGGAAACAGAGGATGTGGTGACGTATGGGTATTGGTAGTTGCGATACTCTGTCGTCAATGGCTGCGGACAGAGTCTCCTCTGTTTCAGCCGTCTGCCTTTTCTTTTTCATAGTCATAGGCGAGAACGACTTTGTGGTCTGGTGAATGAATTAACCCTACTGCCGGTTATTGTTAATAAAAAAAGGTAATCCTTTAATAAATTTATATCTTTGATTAATAAAGAGGTTAAGCGTATTTAAACTATAGGATGTCCTTTAATAAATTTATAATCTTCTCAACTGAAATTCATGTTACTATTGAAGCTCTTAATATGTCCTTTAATAAATTTGGCACGTTATTGCTCTTGTTCCTCTTAGAATCCCACT